AATTAAAACAAAAATAAATAATAATAACAAATAAAGTTAAATAAATTAATTAATCTTATTTATTGATTTATTAATAAATTTACCCAATTAAATTTTTGTTTGTTTTTTTGTTTTTGCTATAGGGCTCGTGCACTCACCAGAAAGACAGAGACAGAGAGACAGAAAGTGAGAAATCACCCCCCAGGGTGGGATGGCCATGCTGCAATCCCTTCTCCTCCATTCTCGTCGGGATTTTGGGCAATCACACACATGCACCTCCTCAAGCAACCGGGTCCAGGACTTGAACCGTGCTACCAGCCACGCAGGATCCAGTGTCTTTATCCATTTTATTTTTTTAAGGGTTTTGCCATGGTAGCAGGTACACTAGCTGTAGAGAAACAGAGAGATGGAAAGTAAGAAATCACTCCCCAGCAGGGTGGGTGGCCACTCTGTAATCCCTTCTCCTCCTGCAGATTTGGGGCACATGTGCACACATGCCTGGAGTGATTTTCAAGCTTCCAGGACAGGACTTGATCCATGGTCAGCGATGTGGGAGTCCAGCACTGTAAACACCATGCCACCTGCTGGCCCCAACCTTTCCCCAATTTTTATTTGTCAATTTTTCTTAGGATTTTTTTTTCCTAATTGTCAGAGGGCATGTGTACTCACTAGAGAGAGAAAGACAGACAGACGGAGACAAAGCCATCCTCCTGCCCACTGCAAAGGGGCCTGGTCATGCTGCAATCCCTTCTCCTCTATTTCTCTATCCCATCAGGATTTTGAGCACACGTGCACATGCACATGCACCTGGTGTGTTTTTCAAGTCTCTGGGCTGGGATCCAAAACACAGTGGGCCCTGTGGGATCTGGCTCCCTTAACCACTGTGCTGCCGGAACTACCATAACTTTTTCTTTCTTCTTGATTTACTACAGAGTGTGCATACATGCATGAGAGTGAGAGAGAAGCACCCTCCACAGGGTCTGGCCGCAGCTGGATCCTCCCCAACCCTCTGCTTCAGTCTTCCAGCCTGTCAGGTCTCGGGCACTGAGTTCCGGGCATGCCTGGTGTGTTCCAGGCTGATCTGGCTGAAGACCTGAATCGCGGTAGTAACATAGGATCCACGGGTTTGTCTCTGGTTAACTTTTCTTATACTGATTACTAATTGTTCATTAAAGACCTGAAAATATCTTCTACCAGTCTGTGGTTCGATTTTAACTTGGTTTACAGTGCTTTTTAGTACAGAAGCTTGTCTGCTTTATGAAACCAATTTTCATGATCATTTGTGCTTTCTGGTGTTTTAAGAAATTATTCTCTATTGACGATCTATTAAAAAATGTATCTTTTTTCCCCAGTTTTTGCTAGAGTATATGCACTTGCTGGAGAGAAACAGCGAGAAAGAGGAAAATCAAGAAATCACCTCCCCAGGGATGGCCATACTGCAATCCCTTCTGCTCCATTTTCTTTTTGAGATTTTGGTCACATATACACACGTTTTTCAAGCCCTCAGGTACAGGACTCGAACCGTAAAGCCAACCTTGTGGAATTCAGCTGTCTTAACCACCACACCACCAGCTGGCCCCAAAGATATCTTTTTGATGTTTTCTTTTGTAAAAATGTGTGCATTTGATATGTATATATCTGATCCGTCCAGGTCAAAGCTACTTTGGAGACATTTTCACGTGTATTTGCCATGTGACAGTTGTACGGGTTCACATCCCGCAGTGTCTATGGCACCACAAGTGTGTAGGGAGTCCTTTCACACAGCGCGCCCCCGCGTAGTCATGGCTACATTTCTTGGCCCTCTGTTCTGTTATAATTTTCTTTCTTTCTTACTTTTTCTTTTTTAGGAGGGTTTTTGCTATAGAGCACATGCACTCACCAGAAAAGACAGAGAGAGACAGAGAGACAAAAAGCAAGAAATCACACACACACACCCCATGGGGGATGGCCACACCGCAATCCCTTCTCCTCCATTCTCCTCTTGGGATCTTGGGCACGCACCCAGTGTGAGTTTAAGCCACCAGGTCCGGTATTCAAACCACGGTCGGCTACATGGGAATCCAGTGACATAGCCATTACACCAACTGCTGGTCCCCTGATTTTTAATTGCTTGAGTGTATGCACCTACTAGAGACAGACAGAAAGAGGGAGAAAACACCCTTAATAGGGCATGGTCACACCATAATCCCTTCCTCCATTTCTCCATCCTTTGGGGATTTGGGGCACACATGCCAGGGTGTTTTTCCAGCTGCCTACGCCAGGACTCAACCTACGTGCGCCATGTGGGATCCAGCTCACTTAACCAGCAGGCCATAGGGCCAGCCTGCTTTATTGTTTTTCTATCTGTCAGGCCCTTTACCGTTGTTACTTTCCTGTTTTATTTACTGCCTTTGAGGCCTTATTTTAAGCCCAAAACTCTGGTAGGGCAGCTTTTCTTTGGGTCTTTCATATAAATGCTTAGAACAAAACTTCCTGTAAAGATTATAATTGCAATGACATCACAGACATTTCCAAAACTGATTATTGAGCAACTCAATAGTTCTTCCAAAATAGTTCATTCTTAAGGAACACTGAGGTTATGAGTTTATGAATGATGTGAGGAAGGAGTTGGGCCTCTTCCTCTGCGGGCGCCTCTTCCTGGTTCCCTGCCTCCACCCTGCCATGGCTGCTGTCCAGCACCTGCACTCACCATGTCTAGATAGTTACTAGACTGCCTTCCTGTCCCCTCTTTCCTTGTCACTGACATACACACTGTTTCTCAAGGCTCTGCTGCCCCACAGTCTCTTGAGTTACGGGTTCAAGGTCTAAAGCACCACTTTGATTCAGCTCCTCCCAGCCTCCCAGCCCTCACGGCCTCTTTCCTCTGTGGGATAAAGTGATAGAGTGCTGCTCACAGGCCTGACACTCACCCGCCCTGCCCAGCCCGCCCAGCCCTCTCCTCCACCGGCAGCCATGACTCCTGCCAGGTCCAGCGCTAGAGGCTGGGGAGCCTGGCTTGTTCTGTTTCCATCCTTGCCCCGGGAGTGCCCCCTACCTGCTCTCTGCTTCCCAATTTCTACCCACTCCACCTGTAACAAAACAGCTTCCTCGATGACCAGACCCAGAGGGGGTCCCTACCTTGAACAGCCTCGTGTTTCTATTTGCACATGTTGCAGCAAGCGATGTGAGAACCACTTTCACTAAGGAGATTTCCCATCTGAACGCTACTGGCGTGTTTTCCTGGCGTGTTTTTTTTTTTTTTTTTGGAGAGGTTTTTGCTATAGGGCGCGTGCGCTCGCCAGACAGACAGAGAGAGACATAGAGACAGAAAGTGAGAAATCACCCCCCAGAGGGGATGGCCACGCCGCAATCCCTTCGCCTCCATTCTCCTCTTGGGATCTTGGGCACGTACGCACACGCGCCTGGTGTGAGTTTTAAGTCCAGGACGCGAACCGCGGTTGACTACGTGGGAGTCCAGCGACATAGCCATTAAGCTAACTGCTGGTTCCCGTGGATAATTTTTTTAAATAAGATTTTTGCCTTAGGGTGCATGCACTTCTGAGAGAGAGAGAGAAAGAGAGAGAGAGTGAGAGAGAGAGAAATCACCCCCCAGGGGGATGGTCATGCACCAATCCCTTCTCCTCCATTCTCCTCCTGGGAGTTTGGGCATACACGCACATGCACCTAGTGTGAGTTTCCAGCCACCGGGTCCGACACTTGAACCGTGGGCAGCCATGTGGGAGTCCAGTGAGGTATCCACTATGCCATATGCGGCCCCCCTGGATGATTCCTTATTGTGGAGGGAGGTGCTGGCCTCTGCACTGTAGGAGGTTTTGTTCTGTTTTTCCCTTCATTCACCGGACAGCGCATGCACGCACACAAGAGGGGAGAGAGAGGCGTGCCCTCCACAGTGTCTGGTCACGCTGTGGTCCCTTTCTTCCTCTTCTCTAGCCAGTCCGATCTTGACCATGCCCAGCACGATTCCGGCTGCCTGGGCCTGATCTCCTAACTGTGGTTGCCAGAAGGGCTCTGGCCTCTCTTGAGCAGCGCCACACTCTGGAGGCGTAGCAGCCTCCCTGGCCTCTACCTGCTACCAACAGATGGCAGTATCTCCAGGGTGGCAACTGAAACTGCCTCCAGATGTTGCCAGGCGTGCCCTGGGCTGAGAACTGCGGTGAAAGGGAAGACTCCTGGCACCAGCGGCTGCAAGTTCGCCAGGTTCCTGGGGCGGGATGGAGCAGCGGCCTCCCGCACCGATCACAGGGTGGCCGCCAGGCACCTCTGGACACTGTTTGGAGCATCTGAGGTGAAGCGGAACATACAGCAGGGACACACCCAGGTCTGCCTCCTACTGCCACTTAAGTATCCGGCGGTGGGTCTGCTCTGTGCGCTGCCAGCAGGAAGGAGGCTGCGACCGCACCGAGCATCGCGCCCCCGCGGTCGGTCAAAAAGCAAAGCGGACGACAGGTGGGCTGAGCTGGCAAGACTAGGGCCAGTCATTCTCTGTGCTGTCAGCGTCCAGGGAACAAGCTGAGCCTCCTGTGCCCTTCCCCTGGAAAGCAGTTGAGCGGTCGGCGCTGTCGGCCAGCACATGGGGATCCTCTCGTGGGTTCAGGTAACATTGCCCCCAGTGACAGCCTCTAGATGACACAGGCTCTTTCCCGAGGAGGAGGCCACACAGGCCTCCAGGGGCCCTGTGGTGCTTGAGTCACTTGGCATCACCCGAGGCCCTGGAGGCCCTGGGGTCTGAAAACTGCTCCAGGTCACTGCGCCCCCAGTTTGGATGAGCTTTGAGCTGGGGTCTGTGAGGCCTGACAAGCTGGCGTGTCTCCTGGACTAAGATGTCATGCCCTCTTTTGGCCCATGGACTCCTGGGGGAGTGTCCTTCTCCGAGGCCTTTTCCGTGGTGTCCCCAGGCCAGCCATCCTGCTAGGCTGTCTAGCTTGGCCATGTTGGGGTCAGCTCCCCTCTGCGGTCCCTGCGTCCCTACGAAAGGCGCGTCTCTTCCTAACGGCTCCTGCTGGGGAGGGTCTCTGACTCACCTCGGAGGAGCTGGGCAGCGGAGGGGGGGTGAGAGAAGCAGGCAGAGGGGACGCTGTAGTTGGTTTTCAGCACCTCCAGGAGATCTGCTGTGTACCTGGAGAGACACCGGCCTGCGTTCAGAACCACGGAGCCTGGGAGTGGGGGGAGGACAGGTAGGGCCCTAGTTACCTGATACTCCCTCAAGCTCTCCTCTCAGAGCCTGGTTCCTTAGGGAATTGGCCAGGCTGGCCAGGGGCAGGTCTGGCTGCAGTGCTCGAGGAGCCCACAGTTAATTCTGTCTTCCTGCATCATGGCAGCAGCCCAGCAGCCGACCAGGGAGAAAGAGCAGGGTCTCAGGGAAAAAGGGGGCTCTCTGTACCCGGGACGAGCCCCCGGTTCGTCAGGAGCTCTGGGCTCTTCTTCAGCGCTCACCTCTGGGATCTTTCTCCCACCAGGTGGGGGGGGCAAAGCCAAGGTCCTGATACGTCACACATTGCTCCTGTCCCACTGTGTCCCTGAGGACCTGGGGGACAGTGAGAGCCTTTCCAGTTCTGTCTCAATCTGGGTGCTGTGAGCCAGAGCGCTCTGGGAGGGAGGGAGGGTCAGGCCAGAGCGATAGGAGCCCCCGTTGCTAAGTAACGTAGTAACTGGCTCCTGGCCGGGGCCTGCCGTCCGCACTTACCTGGGGTCAAGCTTTATCTGAGTCCTGTCTGGCTCCATCGTCTCCTTTCTCCCCGGTACTCCCGGCAGGTGCTGAGGCACAGAAGGGCAGGCAGGTGGGCAGGCGGGGCACTGAGGGGGACGGTTCCCGCCTGACCAGCTGCACTACTGGCCTTTCCAGGGGCCGGCGCAGAGGGCCAGTGGAGCGAGCAGGTCTTCCCTCTGGCTCTTCCTCTTCAGGCCTCACGTGCCAGCTTATCTCGGAGTTCATTCACTCTGGAGGAATTTGATCCTCCAGGCTGAGTTCCCTGCTTCCTGACTCCTCCCGGGAGTGGTCCCTCCCACATCACTCAGGCGATGCCTCAGGCCACCCTCGCTCCTACCCTGTCCTATCTGCCGCCCCACTTCCAGAGCCCTCTCAGGCCAGAGCGGCTGGACCCAAGACAAATCTCCAGCTCAGGGCCGGGGCAGGGTTGAAGGCCCCCTCCTCCCCACGAAGGCCCCTGGTCAGCAGCCCCTGGAGCACATGGCTGAGACTCAGGTTCTGGCCCTGCAGAGATGGGAGACTCCAGGGCCAGGACCTTGGCTGTCCAGTGCTGTTGACTTGGTGAGCAGAAGGCAGGGAGGACTGGCTGGAAAAGCCATGTGGGTTTCCCAGAACCCAGCCCAGGCTGGGTTGATGATGGGTTTATCCAGCTGAACAGCTGGGCCTGAAGATGCAGCCAAGTGGGGCTTTATTTATTTATTATAACTTAATTTCTATAGGGGGCCCGAGCTCACTGAACAGCACGGAGGGAGTGGAGTGAGAGAAAGTGCGCCCCTCAGAGGGTGCAATCCCTGCTCATCCTCCTCTCAGGAGTTTGGGCACACACACACATGCACCTGGTGTGTTTTTCAAGCCACTGGGTTCAGGACTCAAACTGCACAGATGGCCCCTGGGGACCCAGTGCCATAACCACCACACCAGTGGCAGGCCCGGCAGGCTGTATTTAAGAGTCAAAGTGGCAGAGTGAGATTCTAAACATTTTGTTAGGTTTTGGAAAACTGCTCTATCACAGTCATCCTCGGTACCCACAGACACTCCAGTCCCTTACACACAGGGTCTGCAGACCATCCATGCAGGGCCCCATACATGTGCATCCTCTCCCTTACACACAGGGTCTGCAGATGGTCCACGCAGGGCCCCATACACGTGTATCCTCTTCCTTACACACAGGGTCTGCAGATGGTCCACGCTGGGCCCTCGTACATGTGCATCCTCTCCCTTACACACAGGGTCTGCAGATGGTCCACGCTGGGCCCCGTACATGTGCATCCTCTTCCTTACACACAGGGTCTGCAGACCATCCACGCAGGACCCCTGTACACGTGTATCCTCTCCCTTACACACAGGGTCTGCAGATGGTCCACACTGGGCCCTCGTACATGTGCATCCTCTCCCTTACACACAGGGTCTGCAGATGGTCCATGCAGAGCCCCCCGGTACATGTACGTGCTTAGATTACTTGGGGCACCTGACACAGTGTAAATGCCATGTAAATAGCAGTTAGGAAATAATGACAAGGGAAAGAAGTCTGCACTGTGAACAGCAGGTGGTGTAATGGTTACGTTGCTGGATTCCCATGTAGTCAACTACGGTTCGAGTCCCAGATCCAGCAGCTTAAAACTCACGCTGGGTGTGTGTGCATGCATGCCCAAAATCCGAAAAGGGGAATGGAGGAGGGATTGCAGCCATTCCCCCAGGGGGTGATCTTGCTCTTTTGTCTCTTTGGCAAGCATATGTGCCCTATAGCAAAAATCTCTCTCTAAAACAAAGTCTACATGTTCTGTAAGACGCAGCCATCAGGCAACTACACAGTGTCCATCAACAACCAAGGAACGGTTCCCAACGCAGTCACTTGAACCCACAGGCACAGAACCTGCCAACACGGAGGGCTCTGTGTGTGCTCGTGGACTCTCGATGGGTGGTTTCTCTAAACAGGCTGAAGCTTTTCTGAGGCCAAATACAGTGTCTTGTACTGCAGCACCCCTAGGTTCCTGGGGTGGAGCCCGGCACACACTAAGAGCTCCCTAAAATGTGGATGCATAGGGCCAGCCCCGTGGCCTACTGGTTAAAGCAGCCAACTGGCCGATCACAGAGAACCACGGCCCCAGCAGCTTGGAAAGCACACCGGGCAGGGGCGTGTGCATGCCTAACATCGTAATGGGGCGGAAAAATGGAGGAGAAATTGCAGCATGGCCTTGTCCTGCTGGGAAGTACCTCTGTCCTTCTCTCTGATGAGTGCGTATGCCCTCTGGCAATTAATAAATTGCTTATTGGTCGCAGAGCACGAAACAATGTAATCAGAGCAACGGCAGCAGGTGACAGCTACTGCGCATGTGCGCCAGGTGCCGAAGGGGATGGTGTACATTCCTGATCTCGCTTAAACTGTACACCCACTCGCTCATATAAGGGACGGATTATCTTCATTCCCATTCTAAGGAAACTGAGGTCTAGAGATTTAAGAAACCAGGACAGAGAGGTTAGTAGAGGGTGTAGAACTTCCATTGCTGGACTCCCGCATAGTTGACTGCAGTTCAGGTCCCAGACTCAGCGGCTTGAAAATCATACCATGTGCATGCGTGTGTGGCCAAGATCCCCAGAGAAGAATGGAGAAGGGATTGCAGCATGGCCATTCTTCTGGGGCGAGGGGCAATTTTTTACTTTCCCCTCTCACTGTCTCTGTCTCTGGCGAGTGCATGCGTCATATGGCAAAACCTCTAAAAAAAAAGAAGAAGAAGAAGAAGAAGAAACCAGGATATATAGAGAGCTGTGGGATGTGGGAAAGGCAAAAGAGACCTGGGGTTTTAGGTGGTGAGAAAGGGAGAAGGTGGGGAGAGCCGGTCCCTGGCCTGGGCGGTGACAGAGGAAGCCGGTACTGGTGTGGCTCCTGGACGACTCCCTCCCCAGTCCCCAACAGCCCTGCATCTCTCCGTAGGGTCAAGCACAGTCCTCCTACCATACAGTTCTCGGGACAGGACAATGCCGTGATCTCCTGGGCCCAGTTACTTCTAAACTGGAGGGAAGGGCAGGAAAAGGAGATCGAGACCTGAGCCGTGAGCCCTGAGGGTCAATGGCCCCGGCTCCACCCTGACACCGACACTGACTGACTCAGCTTCCTCAAACCCTTTCCCCCAGAACGTTCCCGGGGTTATTCCTCTCTAGCTGGTGAGAGGCCTTGAGCTGAATCACCCAAAGCTCTGAACTTTAGACTTCCCTAAAGCAGATAACAGATGCTGAGGATGTTCTCTGAAATCCCACAGGGCAGAAGTGGGGGTGGGGTGGGGAGGAGAGGAGAGCTGGGCTGGGAGACCCTGGGAGAGACCCGGCCCTCCCAGGAAGAACACGGTTGAGGGAGAAGGAGATGTCAGGGTGGCGGTGAGAGGGAGGGCTTCAGCTTGCATGGGTACTCCTGCCCCACTGGAAGGCCTGAGGCTGCCTCCTCCTACAGTGTGGCCGAGGCCTAGACCAGAGTGGTCACCTCCCTGTAGCTACCACTTGGCAAAAGAGCATGAGTTGGGCCAGCCAATCAGATTCTTCTCTTGGCACTTTTCCACTAGAGCTGCCAAATTACTGGTTTTTAGAATCAAGATGAAAAGATCATTCTCTTATTTTTCTGACTATTTTTCCCACAAGATGGTATAATAGCATAATGATAACCACTTCAATTTCAGTGTTCTTAGAACAAGGGTCATTTTTGAAAAATCAAAACCAAAACAGGACAAAACAGGATTTCATCAGGTTTTTCCCCTGAGATCCTGAAATCATTTGATGTTGAAAGACCATTCTCTCTCTCACTTACTTATTTGTTTATTTAAGTGTATTTCCTCTAGGAGTATGAGAGACAAAAACAGTACCCTTAACAGGGTCTTGCTGCTGTGACCCACCCCCAGCCTCAGCCAGCCCCAAGTCACAGACGTGTCATGGCCAGTATACTCAGGGAGGTCTTCGGACACAAACCTGGAACCTTCTTGTACGGCTCAGCCTCACAGAGTACTCCACTTTGTGTTACCGTGTGGCCTCCATGCTCTCTTTGAAAAGTTTCCCAGGTCAGCCCTATAGCACCACGGTTAAGGGATCTGGATCCCACTTGGCTGATCATGGTTCAAATCCTAGCTTGAAAAACACACTGGGCCTGTGTGCTGCATACTCAAAGTGCTGACAGGAAGGAGGAATGGAGGAAAGGGATCATGCATGACCATGCCCCATTGTGGGGTGTTTTTGTCTCTTTCTCTCTGGCAAGGACAGGTGTTCTCTGGCAATTAAAATAAGGTCAGTCCATGGCCTGGCGGTTAAGGTGGCTGACCACCTATGCTGTTTGAATCTCATATCCAGGGACCAGCAGATGACATAGTGGTTACATTGCTGGACTCCCACGTAGTTGACCACGTTTTGAGTCCTGGACCTGATGACTTGAAACTCATGCCGGGCACGTGTGCGTGCTTGCTCAAGATCCTGAGAGGAGAATGGAGGAGAAGTGATTGTGGCGTGGCCATCCCCCTGGGGGGTGATTTCTCACTTTCAGTCTTTCTGTTTGACAAGCACATCACCCTATAGCAGAAATCTCTCTCAGGGAAAAAAAAAAAAGAATCTCATATCAAGTGTCTTGAAAAGCATGGGCACATGTGTATAAGTGCCCAAAATCCCAAAAGGAGGGAGAAATGGGGACGGAATTGTGGCTTGACCATTCCCCATGAGGGGTGCTTTCTCTCTTT